TCGGAGCCCAGCAGGCCGAGGCTGCGGTGGCCGGGAGCGGCCACTGCACTCCAGTCTGGACGACAGAGTGAGACTCCAACTCAAAAAAAAAAAAAAAAAAAATCTCTTTCCTTCCAAGAATAGAAATGTGTTTAATTAGAGTCATAATCTAAAAACTCTCCTTATCACATACATCGATACTTTCCTTATGTCATTTTAAGCCAATACATTTTCAGCACACAGGTTAGAAAATAGCATCAACTCCTCCTAACAATGTAAAAACACAAACAAGCAAAATGCATAGTAAAACATTGCTCAGGGCCGGGCACAGTGGCTCACGCCTATAATCCCAGCACTTTGAGAAGCCAAGATGAGAGCATTTCCTGAGCCCACAGCTTCATGACCAGCCTGGACAATTTGGCAGGACCTCATCTCTACAATAAATACCCCCCAAAAAAGTAGCTGGGCATGGTGGCACATGCCTGTAGTTCCACGTATTTGGAAAGCTGAAGCAGAAGGATCACATAAGCCCAGCAGGTCGAGGCTGCAGTGGCCAGGAGAGTGCTACTGCACTCCAGCCTGGGCAACAGAGTGAGACTCCAAATCAAACAAAACAAAACAAAACAAAAAAATTGTACAACCAAAAGAATACGTACGAGTTTCTTTTTAAAAGTAAAACAGGAGAAATGAAGCTAAATAGCCCTAGGACAATATATGACTTTACCTGAGCCATCTGTTGAATGATTGAGTTGAAGTCTTCATCTCCCAACTTTGGGGTCCAAGGAAATAACCCAGATACACTTGAGTTATTTGAGGGCCTGTGCGCACTTCCATTAGTGATGGAACTGTCTGTGAATACTAACAAGCCCTTCCGAGAAAAATCAAAGTTGGTTGAACAATCTGAGGGTAAATGGCTGAGCTGTTGGAGAGAAAATCAAAAGAGAATCATCAACAGAAAATGACAAAAAAAATTTCTATTAAATAGTACATTTTGCCCATTCCATGTGTAATTTACATGACAAATATAAACATGTGAAAGAAATAAGGTAAAGATAAATGAATCTGTGTATACATGAGGCTAAACAATTTTTTAAATTTAGTATTACACAAAATGTTTAATAGCTTGAAATTTGTTTTTGCTTCCTACCTACTGCCCCTACCCCAGATTAACAGCACGTATACTAACATCTCATTACACTTCATACATACAAGTACAGCTAGTCATAGAAATGTATGAGACACTAAACTCTTTTGCATTTATCTGTACATTTCCATGTGGAGAGCCGCAAAAGATTCACAGCATATGAGAAAAATAACAACAGTACTTATTGAGTGTTCATTTCATTCTTACAACAGTCTTACAAGACATCGACCGACATCCAACTGTGTGAACATGAAAGCCAGGACACACGAGGGTTAAATAACTTGCTCAAGATAAGTAGCAAGTGAGTCTCAGAGCCACTTAAACATCAGTAGAAAGAGAATAATCCTGTAATTACAGGAGCAGGATTTTTGAAACATCATTGGCTGATTCAACTGCCAAAACATTGGAATAAAGGTTATTTTAAGAATAAATGTCAAGAAATTGAACGAAAACAATAACAAATTAAAAAATTTTAAAAAGAAAAGAACAAAGGGAGAAAAAGAATAAATGTCAGCCAGAAATGGTGAAATCACTTGAGGTCAAGAGTTCAAGACCAGCCTGGGAAACATATCAAGACCCCATCTCTACAAAAATAATTACAAATATAAAGAATAAATGTCAATAAGACCTCACAGAAAAACAAAAAAATCAATACTTCCTGGCTCCAGGAATTTTACAGTTCAATGGATAAAAATAGGACCGCGGCCCAGCAAAGTAGCTCATGCTTGTAATCCCAGCACTTTGAGAGGGTGAGGCAGGAGGATCCCTTGAGGACAGTAGTTCAAGACCAGCCTGGGTAACAAAGCAAGCTCCCATCTTTAAAAAAAAAGGGGGGGAGGGTGCTGGGCGCAGTGGCTCACGCCTATAATCCCAGCACTTTGGGAGGCCAAGGTGAGAGGATTGCCTGAGCCCTGTGGTTAGAGATCAGCCTGGGCTACTTGGCAAGACCTCATCTCTGCAATACATCAAACAGTTAGCTGGGTATGGTGGCGCATGCCTGTAGTTCCAGCTACTTGGAAGGCTGAGGTGGAAGGATCGCCTGAGCCCAGCAGGCCGAGGCTACGGTGGCCAGGAGTGTGCCAATGTCCTCCAGTCTGGGTGACAGAGTGAGACTCCAACTAAAAAAAAAAACCCAAAACAAAAACAAAAACAAAAAAAACCAACTATGTATATAACAACTGCAAGCTATGCAAATATAAAAGATTACTATTAGGATGAGGTGGTTAGCTAGGTCCACTTTTAGGCCAGTAAAAATAATAGATTTTGTGTTGAGCTTTGCCAATCTCAAACTGCTACCAACAGCATTCACTATTGCATATTATATGAGCAGGAAATACAGAAAGCTAAATTTCAATATGGGGTATGCTAAATAGGGGCATAAATTCTGGGCTAAAGAAAGAAATTCACAGAAAGCATGTGTGTAGAGTTTAATTCTTAACTGGCTATCAACAAATCATTCACAAAATACTTAATGGACAGGCATTTTGGTTTATCAGCAAAAAAATTTTTTTCCCAAATTTTGTTAATTTTCACTTATTGAAAACTCTGCTAAATTATTTCCAATTAGGTTTAAAATTGTGCCCAAATTTAAGCTACAGTACAGCTACTATTCAAGCCCAGCATACAGAAGAGATGATTTAAAAGCAATTGGCCAGGCGGGTGTAGTGGCTCACGCCTATAATCCCAGCATTTTGGGATGCTGAGGTGAGAGGACTGCCTGAGCCCATATGTTCAAGACCAGCCTGACCAACTTGGCGAGACCTCATCTCTACAATCAATCAAAAAAAATTAGCTGGGCATGGTGGCGCATGCCTGTAGTTCCAGCTACTTTGAAGGCTGAGGCGGAAGGATCACCTGAACACAGCAGGTGGAGGCTGCAATGGCCATGAGCATGCCACTGCCCTCCAGCCTGGGTAACAGAGTGAGACTCCAACTCAAAAAAGACAAAAAGCAACTTGCCATCCCTGACACCAAAACAGAACACAAGAAGACAATTAAAACGATCAATTTCCAGTTCAATTTCAGCTTTTGACACAAAATAAACAAAAAAAATCACAACTATTAATTTGCACCACCCAACAAAGAGGTATTATATGTCCTTTAATTCAATAACTGTGTATTTAAGCCTTCAGTCAAAGTAGTATGGCATAGGTAGTAGAGGAATCACAAATAAATATTAAGACACCAGGTATGCTGCTTCCAAGGAATTTCTTTTTTACTTTTTTTCTTTATTTTAAAGATGTGGGGTCCAATTCAGGGTTAGGTATACAAATGTTCATTATGCCGGTACCCTTGTTGATGAGGTATGCCAACCCCCACCCCAGCAGTTTCGCTCAACTGCCAATCCCTTTCTTATAGTATTATAATTGTGCAAGGTCCTTTCATGGAACTTCTCATCAGAGCATCCATGATGAAAAATAATAAATATTTTATTTTTTTAAAAATTTTGAGTCGGAGTCTCACTCTATTGCCCAGGTTGAAATGCAGTGGCATGCTCACAGCCACCGCAGCCTCAGCCTACTGGGCTCAGGCGCAGGCGATTCTTCCATGCCCAGCTAATTTTTTGATTTATTGTAGAGACAAAGTCTTGCTGAGTTGTCCAGGCTGGTCTCGAACCCCTGGGCTCAGGCAATCCTCTCACCTCCACCTCCCAAAGTGCTGGGATTACAGGTGTAAGCCACCGCATCCAGTTATTATTTGATAATTAAGAAAGTATGAATAATGTGCTACATGGGCATGATCACCTCTCATATGATAAAAAAGCTTCATAAAGAAAATATAGACTGGGCGTGGTGCCTCATGCTTTTAATCGCAGCACTTTGGGAGGCCGAGGTGAGAGGATTGCCTAAGCCCATAGGTTTGAGACCAGCCTGGGCAACTTGACGAGACCTCATCTCTACAATAAATTAAAAAATCAGCTGAACATGGTGGCACATGCCTGTAGTTCCAGCCACTTGGAAGGTTGAGGAGGGAGGCTCACCTGAGCCCAGAGGGTCAAGGCTGTGGTGGCCGGGAGCGTACCACTGCCCTCCAGCCTGGATGACAGAGTGAGACTCCAACTCAAAAAAAAAAAAAAGAAAAGAAAATATAGACCAAGCGTGGTGGCTCATACCTGTAAATCCCAGCACTTTGGCAGTCCAAGGCAAGAGGATTGCTTGAGGCCAGGAGTTTGAGACCAGCCTGGGTAACACAGCGAAACCTCATCTCCACAAAAAAATAAAAAAATTAGCCCAGTGTGGTGGCATGCGCCTATAGTCCCAGCTACTTGGGAGCATGAGGTGGAAAATGGCTTGAGCCCAGGAGTTGGAGGCTGCAGTGAGCTGTAATCATGCCACTGTAGTCCAGCCTTACTGACAAAGATGAGACCTCGACTCAAAACAAAAAGGAAAAGAAAACATAACTTAAGCACTTTTTTATAGTTTTGAAGAAAATGTTGAGAGTTCTCAAAGCATAAATATGATCTTTACATATTAAATAAGTGCAAAAACCGTATTCCAAAGCCAAACGCAGGTGTTTGTTTGCTTGTTTCAGTGTCTTGCTCTGTCACCCAGACTGGAGTGCAGTGGTACAATCACAGCTCACTGCTGCCTTGACCTTCTGAACTCAAATGATCTGCCTAAACATCTGCGTAGCTGGGACTACAGGCAACAGCCATACCATGTCCAGCTACCTAACATAACATTTATTATCAACATTTTAAAAAATTATCCATTCCACATTATGAAATCTATGACAGAATTTTGTTGTCAATCATGATTAATTATGACTATTTAAAATTTAATGTTACCATGAATAAGTATTAATAGCAATTCTCATCATTTTTCCAAAGTTAATTAAAAACCAATTGTTTGCTGGGCATGGTGGCTCATGCCTGTAATCCCAGCACTTTGGGAGGCACAGGCGGGAGGACTGCCTGAGCCCATGGGTTTGAGACAGCAAGACTGCATTTCTACAATAAACCCAGAAAAAATTAGCTGGACATGGTGGCGCATGCCTGTAGTTCCAGCAACTTAGAAGGCTGAAGTGAAAGGACTGCCTGAGCCCAGAGGTTTGAGGCTGCAGTGGCCGCGTCCAGCCTGGGCAGTAGAATGAGACCCTGATTCAAAAAAAATTCAATTTTTCTATATAAAATACATGTGAATGATTAATCTTTGAGCTTCCTAGTTGGGAATCAACTAAAGTCCTTTTAATTTGAAATAAATACACAAGTTCTTTAAAAAACAATTATCCGCCAGACTCGGTGGCTCAGCCTGTAATCCCGCGCCTTTGGGAGGCTGAGGTGAGTGGATTGCCTGAGTCCATGGGTTCAAGACCTACCTGGGCAGGCGAAACCTCATCTGTACAATAAAATCAAAAAATTAGCCGGGCGTGGTAGCGCGCGCCTGTAGTTCCAGCTACTCAGAAGGCTGAGGCAGAAGGATCATGGAGCCCAGCAGGTCGAGGCTGCGGTGGCCGGGAGTGGCCACTGCACTCCAGTCTGGGCTACCAAGTGAGACTCCAACTCAAAAAAAAACCAAAAAACAAAAAAACAATTATCCGTTCCAATGCTACTCACAAGTTACAGATCCCAACACAATCTCTTTGCCGAACTGAATCCTAAGAGACAATAAATCTTTGTCTATTTCCTTCCATCTTTCTTTGGCAGTTTGAATATATCAATGTAAAACCCCAATGGGTAACTTACTTGCCCCTTCAGCTGCTTGATGGACTGCTGAAGTGTGAGTATCTGGTTGAAGAGAGGACTCCTCAGTGTCTCATAAAACATAGATAGCTTCTCGTTCTGCGACGTGTCTCCCTTCTCCTGCAACTTCGTCTTCAAGCGCTCAAGAACCTGCAGCACCTGCAGTTTATCTTGATCGAAGAAGGATAATCAGAGCAAAAGTTAAATCCCATCTTATATTCCATTTCGGGAACATTAATTGATTGAACTGCATAATGTATACCTGCAGCAGGATTTTCTGGCATTTTGGATTATTCCCTCTAATCGCTTTTAAAGAAACCTAAAGAAAAATTGAGAGACACAAAAGATGAATTTCAATTATATGTACATGTCTACAGTCCTACAGAAAAATTAAAGAAGACTTCAAGAATACTTTTCATCAAGACTCCACTCAGTGAACTTCAATTTTTTTTGTTTTTGAGTTGGAATCTCATTCCATCACCCACACTGGAGGGCAGTGGCACGCTCCAGGCCACCACAGCCTCAACCTGCTGGGCTCAGGCGATCTTTCCGCCTCAGCCTTCCAAGTAGTAGGAACTACAGGCACGCACCACCATGCCCAGCTAATTTTTTGATTGATTGTAGAGATGCCAAGTTGCCCAGGCTAGTCTCAAACCCACGAGCTCAGGCAATCCTCTCACCTCGGCCTCCCAAAGTGCTGGGATTATAGGTGTAAGCCACCGCACCCAGCCTTTAATTTCAAATTAAAACCACAGTGAGGTGCCACTACATACCCACTAAGATGACTAAAATTAAAAAACAAAACCAGACAAACTGTTAAAAGGATGTGAAGCAACTGGAACTACCATGCATTACCAGTAGATGTAAAACATCACGCCACTTTGGAAAATTGTTTGGCAGTTTCTCATAAAGTTAAAAATATACTTATTTTATGACCTATCACTTTCCACTCACAAATACTTACGAGAAATGAAAACAGATGCTCACAAAAACACCTGTACATGTAATTTCATAGCATTCTTATTTACAAAGACCCAAAACTAGAAAAAACCCAAATATTTAACGACAGATGAATAGATAAACAAAATAAAATATTCAGCAATAAAAAGAACAAAATTACTGATATACACAACAAGAATCAATTTCAAAAACGGGATGTGGAAAGAAAGGAACCTAATCAAAAAGAGGCATAAACTGCATGATTACATTCATATAAAGTTCAAGAACTGTCATAACAGGCTGGGTGTGGCGGTTCCTGTCTATAATCCCAGCACTTTGGGAGGCCAAGTTGGGCTGACTGCTTGAGTCCAGGAGTTCTAGACCAGCCTGGGCAACATGGCAAGACTTCCTTTCTACAATAAGTCAAAAAATTAGCCAGGGGTGGCACTGCGCGCCTATAGTCCCAGCTACTCAGGGTGCTGAGGTGGTAGATCACCTGAGCCTGGGAGGTCAAGGCTGCCATGAGCCACCATCATCGTGATCAGGCCAGGGCGCTCCAGCCTGGTCAAGACTGAGATCCTGACTCAAAAAAAAAAAAAGAACTGACAAAACAAATTATAATTATAGATTAATTTGTCTGTAAATTAAGGAAGTTGACAAATGGCAAGGCTTAGAACATGCTCCCTGCAGAACATGGCATCCTGGCAAGTTGAACATTTTAAGATGAGGGAATTTGAGAAACAGGAGGAACAGGGAGAACTTTCCCAGAAGCAGATCATAAGATCCATAGATAAGGGTACCCTTCCTGAGCCCAAAAGTTAGGAGCATTTTTATCTCCAAAGGCAGAGGGACACCACGAGAACGAGCAGGCCTTGCCAAACTTCCTCAGTTTGCTGCTCTTAGCTCATATCCCTTCTGTCCTATCACATTTTCCCAAACTCTACACTTTTTATCAAACCTACTGTAACAATGCTCAGGCTTAACTGCCTCTTAGGGTTTTCTCTTCCTTATGAAGACTCCTGTGTCACACAAAACTTAAATAATTTCTTACGCTTTCCTCCTGTTAATCTATCTCCTATTACAAGGGCCCCAGCTGAGAGTTTAGCAGGGTAAGAAGCTAGAGATATTTTTCCTTCCCTAGGCTGTGAAGGGCTCAAGGGAGCAGCATTCTTGGAGTGACAGAAATGTTCTACATCTTGAAGGAGGTACTGTTTACACAGATGTACAAAATTATCAAAATTGATTGAACTATATGTTTTAAGTGAGTATATTTTATTGTATGTAAATAATACTTTAATGAAGTAGTTTTTTGTTTGTTTTTTTTTGAGTTGGAGTCTCACTCTGTCACCCAGACTGGAGTGCAGTGGCCGCTCCCGGCCACCACAGCCTCAACCTGCTGGGCTCCGGCGATCTTTCCGCCTCAGCCTTCCAAGTAGCTGGAACTACAGGCGTGTGCTACCATGCCCGGCTAATTTTTTGATTTATTGTAGAGATAAGGTTTCGCCAAGTTTCCCAGGCGGGTCTCGAACCCGCGGACTCAGGCAGTCCACTCCTCTCAGCCTCCCAAAGCGCTGGGATTACAGGCTGAGATGAAGTAGATTTTTAAAAAGGATTCTAAGCCAGGAGTGGTGGCATGTGGCTATAGTCCCAGCCACTCGGGAAGCTGGGGCTAGAGGGTTCTTTGAGGCCAGCAGTTCAGGGTCACAGTGCACTATGAGCAACCCTGGGAGTGGCCACTGCACTCCAGCCAGGGTGACATAGCAAGACTCTATATCTTAAAAAAAAAAAAATCCTGAGCTGGAAAATATCCAAGTTAAGAAATCAAGAAGATTTTAGTGGGAGAGTAAAAAAAGACAAATCCCCAAGCGACACAAACGATCCCAGGCTCTCACTGGCCATCTGAACCTCCAGAGGGAAACCACCCAATATGTCACTCTCTATGGATGTTTCCTAGTTCCATTGATTGGGTCAAATTAGCCAAAAATGATCAAAACTTGAAAGGTTAACAAAACCCTTTGCTATGACCAAGATGACACTTTCATAGTGATCATCCTTCCTAGTGATAGTTATAATGAACCAAAGAAATGTAAGTATTTTATAATCTATTTGTCTTACATCAATTTGGATACTGTGGCTAAATGAGCTCTTTGTCTTCTAATTCAAGATTATTAAGCAAGAAAGTGTATTAAAAACCATAAAGGATGTCATTGGCATGGATCAAAGGTTCAAGAACTCCATCCAAATGTTCTCTGGATTCAATGGGAATTACCCAAAAAAGGCGCTAAAGAGAGCATCACAAGAACATTTCTGATGTGCTCAATGTGTCAACCACACAACCCTTACAACTACCCAGCTTCAGGTTACTATAAATAACAGAAGGGTCATCGCGATGGCACTGTCCTCTCAAATAGAATCATATAGCCCAAAAGGACTGACAATAGTAGCTTGGTGGTCATTAACACACCAACCTCTCTAAATCAAAGAATGTAAACTAAAACAATAAATGTGTGTGTGTGTGTGTGTGTGTGTGTGTGTGTGTGTGTGTGTGTGTTTGAGATAGGGTCTCACTCTCTCACTCTGCTGCCCAGGCTGTAATACAGTGCCACGATTATAGCTCACTGTAACCTCGAACTCCTGGGCTCAAGCCATCTTCCTACCTCAGCCTTCCAAAGTGCTGGGATTACAGGCATGTGAGCCACAACAGTGTGGGCAACATAGTGAGGAAAGGAAAGGAAACAAGAAAAGAAAAAAGAAAGGAAAGGAAAAGAAGAGAGAAAGAGAAAGAAGAAAATAAATTAGCAAGGAGAAGTGGTGGCATGTGTTCATAGTCCCAAGCCATTTGAGAGGCAGAGGCAGGAGGATCTCTTGAGCCCAGAGTTCAAGACTGTGGTGAGCCTGACAGAGTAAGACCCTGACTCAAAAAAAAAAAGTAAATCTGGCATTTATTAAGTTATTAAAAATTAATAATAGTATGCACTCTGGATGGCATGGAAAAAGAGTTGAGGGTATGAATTTGCACAACTTTTGAGAAGGACAACTTACAGCAGTATCTATTAGCATATATTAAATTTACATTCTTAGCTGGGTGCAGTGGCTCACGCCTGTAATCCTAGCAACATTGGGAGGTGGAGGCAAGAGGACTGCCTGAGTCCAGGGGTTCCAGAGCAACCTGGGCAACTTGGCAAGACGCTGTCTCTACAATAATTCAAAAAATTAGCTAGGCATAATGGCGCACACCTGTGGTTCCAGCTACTTGGAAGGCTGAGGTAGAATGATCACCTGAGCAGGTCGAGACTGAAGTGGCTGTGAGCATACCACTGCACTCCAGCTTGGATGACAGAGTGAGATTCTGACTCAAAAAAAAAAAAAATCAGTCATTAAAATAATAAAATAGAGCCGGGCTCGGTGGCTCAGTCTGTAATCCCGCACCTTGGGAGGCTGAGGTGAGTGAATTGCCTGAGCCTGCGGGTTCGAGACCCACCTGGGCAACTTGGTGAGACCTCATCTCTACAATAAATCAAAAAATTAGCTGGGTGTGGTAGCGCGCACCTGTAGTTCCAGCTAATTGGAAGGCTGAGGCAGAAGGATCGTTGGATCCCAGCAGGTCGAGGCTGCAGTGGCCACTCCCGGCCACTGCACTCCAGTCTGGGCAACAGAGTAAGACTCCAACTCAAAAAATAAAAAATAAAATAATAATAATAAAATAGGCCACATGCCTATAATCCCAGCACTTTGGGAGGCCGAGGCTAAAGGATTGCCTGAGCCCATGGGTTCGAGACCAGCCTGGGCAACTTGGCAAGACCTCATCCCTACAATAAATAAAAAATTAGCCGAGCGTAATAGCATGTGCTTGTAGTTCCAGCTATTTGGAAGGCTGAAACGGAAGGATCACCTGAGCCCAGCAGGTCGAGGCTGTGGTGGACGGGAGCATGTCACTGGCCTCCAGCCTAAGCAATAGAGTCAGACTCCAACTCAAATAATAATAATCATAAAATAAAATAGGTATGAATGTATTGAAAAAGGAACGTGGGGGAAATAGATAACAGCAAGCCTGTGGCTCACTTCTTCAGCTTAAGAGATTCCCTGCAAGATAGCAGACCTCCTAGCAAACACGCTAAAAGTTTTTAATAAATAAGAGAGAGTCTCATGTTTTAAAATGTCAGGATATATCTGGTCTGTCTTAATTGCCTTTGTAAACAACCCGAGAATTTATGGATTTATGGGCATGACTTTCTAGAAAACGGAGGATAATTACGGACTGTTTCTATCTCTGTAACTAACGGAGTGTAGAACTAGACATTCCCCAGACAGAAAAGGCCTCCTTTAGGAAAATGTTCATGAATATATAATTCAGAGCTTGCTGGTTAATTCAAAACAAAAAT